GGTCTAAGTGAATCATTTGAACATCGTAGAGGAAACTTGACTCTGTCTGGACTTGTTGATCTTGACGATGCACTGTAATCTTAATGCTCATTCTGGCACATGACTTCCATTTAGTGTGAACACGATTTCCCCAAAGTCAATTATGTATTGAACCTTGTTTTTGAATGCCCAGCAATCCTCGATCGGATGGCCAGATAGTCCAGAGTGGTATTCACATACCTTCTTTTCACATCTCTAAAACAGTGCAGGAGGAAGCAACTTGACTAGCTGTTCTGACCTTGCATCTCTTTCTTATGGCTTACCACAGATTATGATTTAGGCAACCTGAGACGTGAAGTAGAACCTTGGGAATGAGTTACGGTTGGGATATAATTGACTCGAATCCTCCGACCATCTGCAGTGAACACAAATTTCCCTAATTCAAGCAAATCCTGAACCGCGTGCTTCAAAGCCTTACAATTTTCAGAATCATGACCAACAACTCCAAAATGGAAATCGAAACGAGCATCAACATCTTTGTTTTGAGGGAAATTTACAGATGGCTTTGCTGTACGGAGTTTGGTCAACTAAAAATTAAGCAATTGTGGAAACAAATAAGCATAAAGCATTGGGATTGGATAAAACTTTTCCTCATGATCCTCCCTCCTTTACCGATAAATCTCGACCCTTGATTTGATCTGAGGAGAAGAGACTGGCTGTTGGTGTAAAAGTTTAGGAATCTCATGTGGAGGAGAAGATCCTAGAACCTGATTCAAAGGAGAACCCACAGAAAGAGGAGATAAAATAGTATGGTCGCAACAGGTCCCAAAGAATAAGGGGAGGAAATAGCTTCGGTCGCAGCAGGTCCCAAAGAATGAGGGGAGGAAATAGCTTCGGTCGCAGTAGTAAGTGCAAGATTACCTTTTGTTGATACAGTTTCTAGCACTTCTATAACCAAACTCAGTTGAGTTTTCAACCGAATGTTTTCCTCCTTTAAGATTTCCTGGCGATGAACCAAAACATGCATGTCTACCATAAGCAGCCCATCTGAACCTTCATCTTAGCTAAATTCCTCACGAAGTTGTTCCATGTTACCTCTGGTTGGATGGTTAAACATTTCCATGAACTGGGTCATTTGAGTAGCCACCTGGGTCCTCACTTCAGCAAGCTCTGTTTGTATATGTTCCATCTATCGTGGCAAGTTGTTTCTGGTTGAGTACCAATGAATAGTCGTCTTGAATTCTGATAAGAGAAGCAGAATCGTGATAAGAAGACCAACCTGGATAAACTTGCAATGTATGATTATGAATGATATGCATGATATGTTAGTCATTTTTCAGGTATCTAAGAGTCTCATTAACCGCCAGTCATAGTGTGCAACCAGATTCAATATAAATAGACAAAGAGGAAAAAAAAAGTAACCATAATACACTATTTCATTCATCCAAAAGCAAAAGATAATGCTCAAGTGAGTTCATACAACTAATAGCACGACACTAATCAACAAAACACGTGTTTCAAAGAAGACATAAGAGAAAACGAGTACATCATAAACATAAAATGATCCCATCCAATTATCCTAGAGGTGACCACCACATCAAAGATAAACACCAGAACTAAATCTCTGGAACAAGGCAAGCTTCAAGGTGTTGACAATACTCTTCGAGTCTGGATTTTTCCTTTAAAAGTTGTGATGCATGGACTTCACTTCTTCGAAATTGATCCTCCACAATGCGTCTCAGGGCTATTTCCTTCTCAATTTGAGCATCCTTGGCTTTGAGATTTTTTTCCAAATTTTAAATCTTCTTCTTGTAGATACTCTCAGATGCCTGAAGCTTCTAGCATTCCTACTGTTTCCTACTTAACTCTTCTTCCATTTCGACATCAGACCTCTTCCTAATCTTTGTCATGTCAGAAGTTTCCCCTTGGGCTTCTTTGAGTTTGCGAGCCAATTCAGCGCTCTCTTGATCTGCCCAATAGAATTTTAATACTGCTTCACGATCCTTCGCACAGAGTTGAATGTTTTCAACATGAACGTGAGTAAAAATCTCAGTAGGCACAATGTCACACAAAATAACAGAAGGTTGCTCATATAAAGGAGCTGATCTTGAAAATGGAAATTGTAGAGTTTTAACCATGTCTAATCCATTCCATGTAAGTATCCCTAGCAATGGGAACCTTCTTGCTCAAAGTGACTTTATCCTTCCTGTGAATTCCCTTCCAAGCATTCATCTATCTTTTTAACATCTCAGGATTACCTCCTCTAACAAAGTACACTGATTCAGTTACTTCCTCATCTTTTGGTGGACCATCTATTGCATATCCCAATTGACGGTAAGCAAGTATAGGGTTATAGTTGTAACACTCCTTAGTGCCTATGAGGGGAACATTATGGAAATCTATACATCTAGTGATGATACTTCGCACTTCACCCATGACATAATTCAATTAGATATCAAATGAAGTGAGATTGACAAGCCTTGACGACCATTGGAGAGAATGCCTTGTGTCCACAAAAGGGCCACTCACTGGTAAATGCAACATAAGCCACTGATACAACATTGAATGACACAAGCTAACATTACCTCCTTTTCCATGTTTGTAGTGTATAGTGTAAAGAGTATCTGCCAGAAGTGTCGGTACTGGGTTCTTACTCCTAAAAACATAGATAGCCGCTAAATCCACGAAGTTTCTCTTATGAGGTAAGAGAAAAATAATGTATATCATGAGAGAAAGCAAAAGGTTGAAGTCACCCCGGTTTCCTTCCTTTGCCAAGTCTTCAGCTTTGTTTACTAAGAAATCCAAATAAAACCCCATAACATCTTTAGTTGATTTCCAATTGTCCTTCACCTCTTTCCAACTCAAATAAAGGGTTTCAACAATGGCTTCAAACTTCAACTTCTCAGGCACTTGGACAAAAGAAACTTCATTTTTCATTTTGATGTTAAGAGGATAGGAGTATTTCTCTAGTGTGGGAGCCAATTGATAATCTTGAAAAGTAAAACACCGCAATTTCTTATCATAAAACTGGAAGAGATTGATCAAATCCATTGGCTCAACTGAGGTATTGAGAATTAATAACAAATTTCCATAATCCCTGTTGAAATTATTCAGAACATCACCCTTCAGATAAGAACTCAACTTCTTTAACTCAGACACATCAATAGTACGAATCTGGTAAGAAAAGGTATGTTTGGTGGGTTCTTTGACAACAATTAAATAAAACTCATCTGGCGGGAGGTCGGCCATTTCTGATGGAGAGAAAACTCTTGAATTCCCCTAGAAAATGACATGCATATGCTAGTTATTTTTTTGTACACAATTTTTTTGAAAATAAATATGTTATGATGTGACATGACAGGACCAAAGTTTCTGAACTGGATATGGCTGGACCATTGTATAGAACCATACAACTCAAGATCCAAAAATCTTGCATAGCTTCAGAACTACCATGAGAACCCAGGTCACCATCAAAACACAAAGTCACCAGTAGTAACTGTACCTGTAAGAAAAACTTTCCCGCCCCACTCACGGGTGAAGACTAGGTCGCGGTAAGGTCAAAGGTTAAATCAGAGTCAAAGATCTCATCTACTGGTATTATCATACGATAACACCTATTTGAACCTCCTCTAAAGTCATGGGTCTCATGTTCGGGTCTAAATGACATACGCCTCATCACACCTATCAATGATATTGAGAATCAAATTAGAATAACAAACATATGCGATGTGAAACGTCGACAAAAGATAGCAAGATAACATGACAAAGATGGCGAGACATCAACAATTTAGATGATAAAACATCACACCTAACAATGATATTGAGAATCAAGGTAGGATAACAAACATATGTGATGGCGAAACATCGGCAAAAGGATAACAAAATATCTTGGTAAGGATGGAAAAACATCAAAACTTAGATGATAAAACATCACACCTAAAAATGATATTGAGAATCAAAGTAGGATAACAAACATGTGCGATGATGAAACATCGGTGAAAAGATAACAAAATATCATGGCAAGGATTGTAAGATGTCATCTCAATAAGGTTTAAGAAAAAGCCAAAAGGGCGTACAAACAATTAAGATTGGTTTGTATTTTTTACCTTGAAGAAGGATTTAAGTATTGTTAGGTATTTTAGAGTTTAATAAAGAAAAAGTTTATGTTTTAATGCACATGCAAAAGGGAAAGAAAAAGTCTAAGGGAAACTATCCTATTTTCTACGCCTAATGTTATCATACAATGGTGATCCTATGTCAAGGATTAACAAATAGGGAAATTTCTAACTAATATTAGCATGCATGGTTTGCAATCCTAATATCTATCTTGAACACTAACCTAAAAGAGTCTAGAAAAATCCTAAAGGAACATGGTAGAGGAAAGCAAGTAAACAAACAAGTGCTTCGGCAAAAGCACGCAAACAATGCAATATGAAATCATATGGAAAGGTGAAAGGGAGATTCCATAACCAAGGGGAGCGGATCACCCGAGTAAAAGCACTCTCAACTGTGGGACAAGATAGCTATACCAGACATTGAATTACCGGGAAAACAAAAGATATGCACAAAGTGATGTTCAAAGCGTCTAAGTATCTGACCGAGATAAAGAGGATCAAGGTAGACGATAGAAGATAGTATGAACAATCACGGAGTATCAACATTGGCCAATGCAAACTCCTGACAAAATATGGGGGATTAGAATGCGAATCCCTTTTCCACTGACTGACTCGATACACATGATCTTGGGAACAACCGCAATAACATTGACGTACAACGTGAGTTGCGGGTGACACAGACAAAAACTAGAGGGGGTCAATTGTGAATCCTTTCTGCTCGCCTCTCTTTTAGAGGACTTAAGAATGGTTTCCATAAAAGGACCTAAAACCATCCCACCGCTATACAAGCATAAAATGTAAACACACGTGCGGAGTTGACCATTAATCTCAGATGAGGCTTTAAACAAACCAAGCATAAATAGCATACTGAAAGTAGTGTCTTCTACAGGTCTTTAAATAGATACTTTAAGTGCACACTCTTTTTATTTCCCGCTTCTTACTTCTCATGATCTCTAGAAAGCGGCAAAATACAATATTTACAATATTTACAACAATAATGATCTGAATATGTACCAAACAGATAAAACAAATCCGTATACAGCAAACTCTACAACAAATATCTGAAATCTTCCGCAAAAGCTCCAAAATCTAGCAACGACAAGAGAGAATGTCAGAAATGTGACACCAGTGCAAATAGAGCGCATCCGTTACCAAAGCGGTCAATGTCCGAATTTTCTTCTCAAGACATGCACAACTCATCAAAATTGTTAGCAAATAACAACAACATTGAAATGCAATTTGTAAGTAAGCAACAAGAATCAAAAGTAAACATGGTTATGTATAATACAAAATGAGCAAGATACTTGAACATAGCATGACATTTCTGGACATCATTATATTAGTATCGAAAAGTGTACCAAAATCACCATACAAGTGGAAAAAGTGAAATCTGGTGTCAAGCATTAATGCCTAATGGCTCAATGGTATGTGAAGCAAGATTTGAAACTTGTAAGAGGTGTGATAGTGTCTTTCCGATCAGCATTGCAAACACATTGGAAAAGTTTCAGAAATTGAGTCAAAACGCATAATGTTTGATATTGGAAACGATCGGACACAAGTATGACAATGAATGGTCAAATGGTACAAAATTAAACCATGTTTAGATGCTAATAGTAGTACTCCTCACAGTCATGCCATGTTATGTAATTATACCCAAAAAGTGATAAAAATGCATATTTAAGTTAGCGGTATCAACAAAATGCGGTATTTAATAAAGAGGAAATTCCTAAGTATCAAAGCTCAATGTACAAGCTACCAACTTAGTTGGTTTAATGCAAGTAAGAAACTATGCAAGCTAAGAGGGAATGGTATCACAAACTAAAACTAGTGCAAAATGGTATTTCTCAAGTAACAGCGTAATATGTACATAAAGCAAAAAGTGCATTCAAAACAAAAAGTAACGCCTTGAAAACTATCTAGAATGAATTGTAAAAATTAAGCGAAGCTATACATATGCAAACGGTTACAAAAATGCGATCAATTCGGTCAAATTTCACCCAGAAACACAATTTTTGTAATGGTACTGCTTCAAGAAAATTGAGTGAAAATGTCCGAATCAAAAAACTATACACGAAGAGAGTTTCGGATGGCTCAAATGACAAGGTTTTCATTAAAGAAAGTTGAAAAAACTCAAAGCGGATCAAAAGTTATGGCAAAATACCGTCTATGTCAAGTTTTGGTCATTTTCCAAGAGAAGAGCCAATTTCCGTTAAACTCAAACCAAGCTTTATAAAATGTGTTTCATTATAATGCTTTGATTTTATTAGAAACCAATGCAACTCATGAAAATTGCCAAATGCAAGAAGTTACACAAAAAATAGCAAAACAAAGTGCAAAGTGAGAAAAAGTGTTAGTATTTAGATTAAATGTTAACATTCAAATGAAGAACTTGTCAAAAGAGAAGCAAACTTTTATGTCAAAAATGGATATTCCGGACAGCAATACCATTCTCATGTTATCAAGCTCAAAGAGTGGTAAAAATGCGCATAAACAAGTTACCGGTATCAAGAACGATAAAACTATAAACACCGAAACAATTTAAACAAAATTAGAATGCCTTTATGCATATAATTCACTATTCCGGACAACAACTCATACTTATGAACATGCTCGACAAGTTGGCATAAATCGACACACAAAAACGTGCCACAATCAAATATGATGTATAAAAAAAATGCAAAAAAACTTGAGTTTATAAGTCGAAAAATAAATGAAAAGTGCTCGGAAATAACGGTAAAAATTAAAGTGACATAGAAACGTACCAACGGTTCCTAAAACCAATTCGGTTAGGCCAAATTTTGATCCAAAGTTTAAAATCGGAAACAGTACAGAAGCACGAAAAATGGATCAAAACTTGTCCGAATTGAAAAAGTAATCGCATGAGAACCTCCGGATGGCTCAAGAAACATGGTTTTCATTAAAGAAAGTCGGAAAACTCAAAGCAGATTGAAAGTTAAGGCAAAAATGAGTTTATGTCAAGTTTTTGACAAATTTCATGAATCTTGACAAATTCTCATAAACTCAAGTTTTTATGTGTCAAACATGTCTTATTAAACCTCTTGAGTCTATTAAAACTTGCCACAATTCATGTCATTGACCAACAATAACAGCATATCAAGAATTCACATTAAATTTACAAATATGAGCATTATGTCAAAGTTAGAAAAGTGTTAGTTCTGAGATGTGCAAGTGATGTGAACAATATCGAAATGTTAAAGACATTTTGGTATTGAATCTGTAATTCATGAATTGTCAACAATTTCAAAGTGAAGTAGAAGCTCAAGATTCATCAACAATTCATGAACTAATCACCCTATGCCAACTTTCTTCATCTTTTCGATATTCAAGAATCAACTACATTAAAAAGTTAGACTTAATTCTAATCTAATGTTAGTTTATGTTAGCCTAAACTAATCTACATTCTTTAAAATTAGTTTCTACATACAAATCTAGAAATCAACCTATTCTTGAAAGTTCAAACTACGTATAGTTTAATCTATGTTGTAACTAAGTGTGATCTAGACTCTAAAGCCCAAATCAAATTCTAATCCACCTAATTACTAAATTAATTCCTAATTAATCAATGATTCTAGATCAAATTTCTAATCCAACAACTCAAGATCTACAACAAAATCAAAATCAAAATTCAACACAAGAATCAAAGGAATTTGTGGTGTTTACCTCTTGAAGCTTAAGAAATTGGAATTGGTGAAGAGGAAGAGGAGAAGACCGAAATTGGAGGAAGATCAGAGGGAGAGCTGACCAATGAAGATAGAGGGTAAGCCGCAGAGGGGTTTCACCGAAAAAAGATCGCTGGAATCGGGAGGTGATCGGAGCTCCAGTGGTGGTAGGAGGTGATTGGGTTTTTGATGAAGTAGAGAGAGTAGAGAGCTTTATGAGTTTTTGTTTGGTAAAATGAAAAATTGTCATAAATTTTTTGGGGGAAAAGATTTATATAGTATTTGAATTTTGAACTAAACTTTCAGTTTATTTGCCGCTTAAACGCAAATTAAACAATGATCTGTGAAAATTTCCGATGTAGTGCCGCTTGAGAAAATGTACGGCTCTGAGTCATGCACGGAATCAAAAAGAATGGACGATTTATGACAAAAATTGAATAACATCTGACATGTTTGAGTGACGGGACATCATGATCAAAAATTATAAAAGTCAAAATATCAGCTTATTTGATCTCTGCTACTCGAAAATGTCACAAGGTTGTGTCCAAGAAATCAGAACCTCGATTTAGCTTTACCGGGAAAAATATGCGTCTCTGAGCGCCTGACGTCATGTCAAAAAAATGAGAGCCGTTTGATAAAAGGTTGATTTTTCATGAATTTACAGTATAATGACGTTCATTCTGTTTTGTTGGTACGAACAACTCCGTTTTGTGAAATAAACCAACAACGGATGTCTTAGGGCTACCGTTCATCTTGACAATATGAAACAAAATCGAAGAAGAAAAAACTAGCAAGCCAACGCTTTGAGAACGGGCAAGATTCGGTAAAAATTAACCGAGTTATGAATTTTTGAATATTTGAAACCGAACAGACAGGTACCAAATAATTCCTCAGTAATTCGTAATTTACACAACCCTCCTTAAATCATCGGATCTCTCCCCTGGATGTACATCAAGAGGATATCAAGACAAAATTTTGGGCACCAAAACCACGCTCATACAATACTCGATCCAGGAGATATGAATTTTTTAATGCAAGCAAAACACGATTCAGCCAACTGTTTATCAGTATTTTCCACTATTCAGCTTTGCTTGATTTGTGAATTCGGAGACCTTCCTTCGAAAATTAGCTTTTGGACCGAACATGAAAGTTGGAGAGGACATTGAGCTTGATTCAATGGAAAAAGAACCACCTCGAGACGGTATATCAAATAGGAGTTATAAATTTCCAAAATTAGATAAATTTCTGAAAGAACCACCGCCAAAAATACTGTTGATCGGTAACCCAAAAACTTAGTAACAAAATTATTTGACCGTCTTCTACACATAATCGGTCCCACCAGAACATGAAAAATTAGATATAATATCCACACGGACCCGGTGATCAAATGTTAGCTCAAAATAATACTATGGCCTCAAGTTATAAAGTTCTGCAGTCTGCGTTTCTGAAACGGACTTTCAACTTGAATTGTTCCAAATCAAACAGAATATCTGGATTCCTTCTACCACTCAGGACATGATAGAATACACAGGAATTAGCCATAGTAAGAAATAATTCATTCACTGCATGGTTTATCTGTACAAAGCTTCAAACGTCTCTGATGAGCAGTCGATACCTTTTGGAACTGCCTTGATCCCATTTCAAATGCATGAATATGTATGATATGCCTATGATGAAACATAAGCCATAAAAAATTCTGAAATCAAGACGGTAAATTTTGGGGTGCAACACTTTGGTTCACGTAGATGTCTTAGCTGGTAATAGGAACCATGATTTCTTGTAGTATTCTTAGCCTAATAATTTTGAAAATGCAATGTATATGTATATGCATAATACCCAAATTGATATGATGTTCAATGATGATTTACATGATGCCCAAAGGCGATATTATTGATATGATACCTCAGTGTGTTGTATGTATATGCACCAAGCGTTTGTGAATATTTTTTATACTTTTCTCCTTATAAACCATTGGGTTTTGTTAAACCATCAACATCTCAGCATTGTTTGTTGTTTTGTTTTGGTGTCTCCAAGTTGATTTGTATTTTGATAAGTTTTTGTGAATAATGTCAATCTGATAATGGTAATTGTATCACAGGCGTAGGCGTAAATGTAGGCGTAGGCGTAAGAGTGTATTTCTTTTGAAGTTTTTCTAACCAAAGTGTTTTTGATGTTTTGTTACATGCCTTTATTTTTGTATCAAATCCCCAAAATAATTTCGACGTAGTGTTTATAAGAAATAATCATTGTATTTTACAAACAAGACGAAAAAAGAAAAACACAATTAAACAAAATTTTGAAAAGGTTTGAAAAATGAATTATATTAAGGTGCAAGATGCAATTCCTAAAAAGAGGTAATCACAAAGTTTACACAAAATTGGAAATGGCAATGAAAATGATAATCGATACTGCTATTTCTCCAATGTCCTATGATATCTCCAGTCTCCTTTGCTTCTGAGTAAGTTGATTTAGATCAATCCTTCCCCTTCGCATTCGTGGTAATGAATTCTCGAACCGCAGTCTATTTGTTCATTTTTTAAATAAAATCCCTAACTTTTTCCTGGATCGCCCTTTCAAGTTTTAAATCCACAGGGATAATGATTTGTTTCTATGTCCCTAATTTTTTCATGGATCTCCCTTTAGGTTTTTCAATCCACCGAGATGCCCCTTTTTGCCTAAGTCGCTCGTTTAGGGTTTTGACTTAGCGGGCCTTTTTACATATGTTGTAACCGGTCTTAAATTGAGAGTCTCCATAATTAATATTTATCTTCGAGAAGGGAATATAAACGATAAGCCTATTTTGGTCAAAGATTCTAAGTTGTTGGACTCGTTCTTATACGAATGGAAGGTGTTAGGCACCCCTCATCTACCTTGTTCACAAGGATACTGGGGTTTAGATTTACAATCTTTTAGGAAATAGGGTTTTAATTTTTATTAGGGGAACTCGCCATGATTTTAAGTCGTATGCCTACGTATCCTCTTATGAGGAATCAGAGTTCCAATTTGTAGTACATAGTTGGTTGGGTTTTTTTATAGATTACGAAGATATTTTGAATTTTCCTTTTATTAAGTTTTAGTGTGTGAATAGCGGAATTATTAGACGAAGATCGCAGTTGATTTAAAAGCATCCTCATAATCCTTTTTGAAAATTGTTTTAAATTAATTAAGTTATTAAAAAAGGATTTAGTGTTGGTTAGGTATTTTTTAAATGTATTAATATATAAAAAAAAATTTAATGCATGGCAAAAATAATTTTAGTGCAATAAAAAATATTTTGATAGATTAGAAAATAAATATTTGATTTTTAATAATAATAGTAAAATAATTTCATAATTTATAAACATATTAAATTATTTAAAAATAATGATAATTATAAATAAAAAAATATAAAATAATTTTAATAAAAAAAACGTATAGGGGCGTATTTCATTTGGGTCAAGTAAGTCAAGGGGGTACGGAAAGTAGTGCCTTGAATTCAGATATTGGATTCAGGCCCAAACGCATGAGGGAGTGTAGATATGTGTATAGTAGCGAAAACAGGGGGTTTTTTGTAGCAAGGGGCCCAAGTTTAGATATTGAAATGGGCCCAGTAGCGCTTGGGGTGAGAATTAAGTTGGCCTAGCAAAACTAAAAAAACAGGGGGGCGTGAATAACATGGGCTTTGGCCCAAAACAAAGTGTGATCCATTAGACAAGGTGTGGGAGAGACCATGGACTAACGATGGACGTGCATTTATGGGACGTTTGATACTTATCTGAAGGTTGTGGTGGGAACCACACGGTAAGGTTTATGGATACGCTAACACATAATCATGAAGTGTTTATAAAAACAAATTGCTGGGATGAGAGCCCATTTTTCCCTTTTCTTCCTCTCTCTACAATGAAATACAAACCCTTTGTAATTTCTAGAGAGAGAGGCTCTGACTTCTCTCTAGAACTCCACCGTACTGGAAATTGTGCAGCCGACGATCACCAACCCCAAGCCTCCACAAACCACCCCTTCTCCCAGTTTTCCGGTTGACATTCAATCGAAAACTTCAAACATTCAAACACCATCGTCGTGGATCTTCATTTGGGTTCGTAGAACCATAAGAACCCTAAGGGTTCATGATGAGCCCTAACTATCCAAAATCCAGAACACACAATAATGATGAACCCTAACCTTAACTAGAAGAACCCTAACCCTAACCTAAGAACCCTAACCCTATCATTACCATAGAAACCCCAGAAACCAAAAATTAAACTCCAATCACACATTTTAACATAAATTCGTCATGCAATCAAACCCTAAGAGCTAAGTGTTTTAGGTTTACGTCTCCTTGCGATTCTGGTTGTATAATTTTTTCTTTCTGCTTTTTTTCTTCTCCTTCTAATCTCATTCTCTCTCTTTCTGTTTGACATGTACGAAGTTGGATGGTGTAGCGGTAGAAATGTTGAGACTTAGCCATTGGATTGACTTAACTCACAAAGATAAAATAAAAATCTTCACCACGCTTATTGTTTCCAGAGAAATGGGAAAAAAGCTAATAACTCAAAAAAGAGGGGGAGAGAATCTAGGTACGGGGGTTGGTTATGCAAAGGGAAACTATTAGCACCCTAAACATCTAAGACTCTCCGCATGAACCTCTTTGAAAATTTGTGTATTTTGGCTATAAGTGTTGTATACAAAAATAAATGGTGGAGATGAGAAAAAAAGTATTTTTTACGATTTTTTCACCCGCCGCGGTTACAAACCTTTAGTGCCTACGTACCACCTTCCGTGCAATAGGGGATCAGGGTACTCATAGTTCTCTTTTAAAAATTTTAAAACACAAGTGCGTTGGTTGATTTTAAGAGACATGACATCATCGTCATATTCGAGTGGAAGGCATACTTACTACCCACAATTATGATAAAGGAGAATTTTCATCATATCCAAGTGGAGGATATAGCTTGGATTTTAAAATCAACAAAGCCTCACTCAACACCTAAGTGGAAAATATCTCACTTTACTACATATCATAGAAGTATAGTAGCTCGTATCACTACAAGGTTTCACAAGAGTATAATCTTTTGAGAAAATTTTAAAGTAAAAAGCCAAAGTGGAAAAATGGTTTGAATAAGGTTGATTGACTTTTAGTCTTCTCACAAAAAAATGTCAAAGTATGATTAAGTTGGTTAAATTTTGATTAAGAAAATATTTTTGAAAATCCATGAACCTAAGTCTAAGTTTATTATGAAAGTGGTTCAAGTTATAAAAACAAGAAGAGTT